TGTTTTCGCTCTTCTTCAATTTACTGCACGACTTTATCGATAATATATGTATAGCTACTTACTTTCTTCAGGATCTACATATATCTCTTTCCTTCTTTCGTTTTTTTTCTAATAATACCACCGAACATAAAGGATTCATAGGAACAAGAAACAAAATGTATGGAGGTAACATCAAAAGATTCCACTATAATTTCTGAAAAATAAAAAACATGTCAAATTGAATGTTGCAAACAAAAAAACATAAAACCACAGACGTTTGTTTCACATATAAAAAATATGTTTGTAGCAAATGTTCACTGGAGAGATATTTCAATTTGATTGGGAATATCTAAATTACTGAGGTTAAATGTAATTTTTTCTAGAAACTTTCTTCTGAAGAATGTACATGTTTAACATGCAAAACATAAATGCTTTCTAACTATTACGTAACAAATTTTCAAAATTTACGCAAGATTCGACGCAAAAACCATTTGCAGTTTTCATATTTCATTGACGCGGAGATTTTATTTTTCGCTGGCACACATACAACGTGTGTGTCGCATTTTTTACGTGCTTTTTCACGTGACTTTGTTCCAACAGATACTTCTCTAGCATGCTATTTCCTGCACCTGATGGTTTCATACAACCTAAGGGTTCTGCAAATTGATATAAAACCTGTAGCAGCTTAAACTGCCTATCACCTGGTTATTTATTCTAGCAATATACGCGAGCAGACTGCGAATTTTTATGCGAAAATAAAGATCGTTTACGCTAATTTCAAGATACAGGAGCTACATAGAAATTTCTTTCTTTAATTATCTTATTAAGTTGCAAATAAAGCAACAACGTTTTAAAATTCTTTAAATGCTTTCACTGTTTTGTATTCGATCTACTCATGTTTATGATAAATACATAATTTTAAACGAAATAAAATCTGACCAGCTTCATAAATACTTAGCTCCAAGACTAATTTAACGAAAGATATTTTTCATAATGTAAACAATTTCAGTGTCGGATGAAATTAATGATTATACGAACAGGAAAGAGAGTTTCTTTCTTATAATCAAATCTTTCGACTTTTAGAATCTTTTTATTAATAAAACCATGCGGTTAATTAATTCTAAAATGTATATTGTATCATTTTCATTTTATATCGTGAATGTATTGCGTCATTAACAGCAGATATAACAACATAATTTTCGAGACTGCACTAATTTGCACTTATCGAGCGACCAATCGTGTGCACCATATCCTTGCCACGTGTTCACATTCTATTAAAACTTAACAGTTAGGTAACAGTCAAGTTAAGCGACAATTTAAGATCCCACTTAAAGGATTCCCATATATCGAACACCTCTCCACTTGCAAACATCTAACCAGTTATACTTCGAAAGTTTAACGAATTTTTGTTTAGGGCTTTACAATAATATTCTTAAAATCCTAAAATATAGGAATCTGACCAAAAGCAGAAGCATCATGGGCAAGGCTTAACCCTTTGCACTCGAGTGGATCCACTAAAACTTGCAACATCAGGTTTCAAAATATTTGTTTATATTTACGAAAAAATTTCTTCTTACAACTTGGAAGGTCACTTCAAATGTCACTTGTAAATAGTGTTTTGGATTCGATTTAGAAGAACATAAAACATACAATTGACGCTTTTCTTCATAAAGTAAACCGTTTACCAGTTATTTTAAACGGCACTAATTGGTGGACACCCTGTATATTGTTTGAAAACAATTCATATAATTAATTGAATTCATATAAAGAATTTTTGAATATTATAAGGGAGAATATTACTTTTAGAACTTGTTTGAAATATAACATCATTAAGCAAAAGAATTATCACTTGTCCCTACAACTTCTTTGAAACGCTCAACAAGCTTGTACATTTCATTCAAATGAAAATTTTCGATTTTATTTGCTCAAAATGAACCAACTACCACAGTTAGCACAGCATCATTTTCGAGGTAGAAGAGTGACATAGGAAAAGATAAGTGATAGCCGTAAAGTGACAAGACTGAAATATAAGGTAGATGTGGTAGAACTTCCAATTTGTCATCTTTTATATTTTTATGACCAAAAGAAACAGCTCGAGGTCTTATGCTGTCGTACAAAAGAACCACGCCGTGGCTGTTAACAATCTTTATAGCCGCGTTCTTGTCATGAATACATCACATTGGAATAATTCTACGCACCTAAACATTTTTCCTGTGAAATTGGATGTATATTCAGAGATGTAAGCCACCGTTTACGATTACAGATGGACACCATTTAATAACAAATCATTAAATAACGTGTACTAAAATCTCGTGAATAATTTTTGTACTGTTCTTTCGCTAACAAAATCTTCCCTTCGACATTGCACTTCTATTTCGATTTCTGGTAAAAGTTTAATTTTTACGTCTTTTTATTACTTTATACGCTAGCTAAGAATAAAATATCGATGAAGTAAAATATTGCACTTTGGATCTATTATAATCACACTATACCAATAATCTTTGCAAAAATCATTAAACCAGTTAAGCTAATGAAAAATGGAAACACGAATTCTTCACTCTTACCGACTTCAACTCTGTATAGAAGATAGAATATGGAAACGAATGAAAAATATTAGTCGATATACATATTATACCAACTAAATAGAATTATCTGTTGATAATATTTTATGAATTCATATAAAAAACAAAATTGATTTAAGATTAGGATTGCCGGAGAAACGAATTTTTTGCGGTACCAAGCAGAGCGGAACAGAAATTGCTTTTATGTATAACCTTAACAGTAAAACAGAGAATAGAAAATTGGTCAGAGTGTTGCCGATGTTCAGAAAGGAGCATAATAATACAAAAGATCGTTATCGTAAACTTTACGATAGTGCGTTCGTTGCAAGGTTAATGTTTCCTGACTCGTACGATGCCTGGAAACGTTGGCAGTTATTTTGTCTACGTCCTTATTGGCTAAAATGGTGATATGGAAAGAGGATACTATGGAGACGAGCAAGGCAAGGTGTGACGTTACGGGACGATTGTGTACTTAAATGTTGATAGACAATAATCCGCACAATGCATATTGTACCTACGTTGTGTGCATGATTCGAAGGGAACGATCCGAATATTTATAAAATAATTAATCGTTGTTAAGATCTCATAAAGTCAAGACGTCCATCTTTTTGCACATCGATTTTATGTCTTTCCGTATTATACGTTCACGTCTTATATTAAATTCATTTGGCTAAATAGGTTATAGTCTAAGGCGGCAGTTTTTCAAGGGTGACGATTTTCGTGGAAAATTCCGCTTTAGATTTTTATATACGCAGAAAAAAATCATACGACCTTAAATAGTTTCACAACTGATTATTACGAGTTGAAAAGAAAATATTAATTATTTCCTACATATTATATTATATTTCAAGTGAACTAATTATTTAGTGGAGATCGGCACCTTGTTAGAACGCAAACCAAGTTTAAATAATAAATAATAAATAATAAATAATAAATGTTCACATAAAAATGCTGAATATACTATTTTAAATGCTTGCTATCGCCTGATATATCCTAAAACTATATGTCAACTATTAAGGAATAAATTTTCTCACTAAATGAAAAAATATTTGAACAAAAGGAATTTCGTTCAAGAGATTTAAGAACTGTCATTCTCACACTCTAAATTCCTGAGAAATTCAATTTCGAGAAAAAAGTATAATTTTTAAATTTCATAATATTCTGTGGTTTTATAAACTTCACGCAAATGTTTCTTACATGTGACGCTATCATAAACTCTGCCATATAAAATCATATATAATGCACACAATATTTTTACAACGTTATACGAGGCACCGGTAACGTATCGATCTTCTCGGGTATTTTTTCAATTTATCTTAAAAAATACTGAGGCAAAATTTACTTAGATCATCCGATAAATTTTCAAAAATAAAATGAACAATATCGGAAATGTCTATACAATTGATTTCTGCAAGGAACATTTCCATGATTCCTACGATTACAACACAAAAAGTTCTGAAACTCAAAGATCTGACATCTTCTACAGTTGAATTTCTTAGAAACTGAAAACTTTAAATAAATCAACAATTTAAAAAAAAATAAGGTTGACAGGGAAACAATATCGAAGTTTTTTGCGAATATTGATCATGTTCTCAGTAAATGATTACACACATGAAAATAACGTTCACCGTTCTGTGCGATCATAAGCAAACAGCTGGCGCACTTACTTTTTAGTAGCTCTAACTTTATTTATAAAAGAACAAAAACGCATGTCCTGTAGAGAAAAGAAGTATTTTATACGGTAATTGATTTTTCATGTATGTGAAAGAGAGTTGCATTGTATCACGGCTAAAAGCATGCTGCACCTAGGAGAAAGTTTAAAGCATGGGAACTGTTTGTACAGTTAAGAGAAACCCTGATTCCTAGTCGAAGAACATACTAAACTCTGCGTGTATAAATATTTTCATTTTACAGAAAAAAAACATCTATTCCTAATATTTTCAAATAGACAATAATTTAATATTACCGTATTATCGTATGATTCATCTATTACAAAATTGTAGTTCTGTTTTAAAACCACCTGACGCACGGCAGCCAATTTTAGCATAATTGAATTCAATAACATTTCAGAAATCATTCAGAAATATTCAAATTATGTTGCCTAATCAATTTATAAAAAAAAAACTTTTTGTAAAGCGGAATCTTCGAAATCAATGTACCTAATGCTTTGAAAGAAAAATACATCATCAAACATCCGTTTTTGGTCGAATCCCTAATATATTAAATTTCGAGACAATCGAATCTCTATATCATCAACTTTGTTCTAATATGTTCAGAATGATGACTTTAACAATACATTTCAAGATCATTGAGATCAGTGATCGTGCTGTTAAATTGTATATTTAACGAAATATATTTTACTTATATTGTAGCAGTCACATAATACTATTCTGTTATATTCATCTATATCGAATTTTACTGATCGTCATCGTACGTACTAATAATTTTCTCAATTTTCAGGTGACGTTATCGATATGTTGACCCTGGTCAATTCCGCTATAAATTTCATCCTCTACTGCACAATGAGCAGACAGTTCCGGAAAACGTTTAACGAGCTCTTTTGTAAGAACTGGAGGATCACCCGGAACACGGGGAAACAAATTCTTATAGACAACAACGGACATACAGGGACAAATCACACGGTGACGCAAGTGACGCAAGTGTAGTTAGAAAGGAAATGGTGGACGATCCTTTGCCTACGTTTTCGTCCACCAGAAACACTGAATCGTTAGGAATTTGTTCCTTGAATAACAAATTTTAAGTATTTAACAATGTGTTATCTCATAACATTCTTTCTGTTAGGCATCCGATACAAAACCATATAGGTATTAATTTTGTAAAATAGTTATTTTTACACATATATCAATAACGAAGTAATTCTAATGTTTTTTTTTATTAACGTTTTTAGAAAAGGAAATTTTTTTTTATTTCGAATTTATCTCATAAGGTAACCGTTACGATAGCTGTAACAGTTGCACTGATGTGTGGGTAGATGGCGCCAAGGACGGACTTCTCGAAAATATTTATCAAATTTTAATGAATTTAGGAATACCATTGAAGAGAACACCACTGCCGTATTGAATTTAAGGGAGAAACAAATCATTTCTATCGTTGCAACAAAGTAATGTTCCATCGAAAGATAGGTGTATGAAATTAAATACACTACCACGTATTCCTAAATGCATCAAAATTTATATACAGCGTGTTGAAAAATAATTTGTACACTCGATTTTCTCGTGGTAACACACTGTAAAGAAATATTGCTTTAATAGAGCCTATATCTTGATTCTCTAAAATCAGTAAGTCCGTTTGGATACGGTATAATATTGTACCATTTATAAATAATCGAAAAAAATACAAAAATCTCGTGATCTAAAGTACCTTTACTGATTAGAACATTTAACATGTTACAGAAAAGTATCAAAGTTTATCTACAAATATTATGTCATTATTTGAAGAGAATATTAGTGCTTAAGTCATGAGATTACTATGAGGAGAAAAATGTGATTTTTATTCGAATAGGCGGGAAAAGGTCATACGAAAAAAATCGGAACGCAGCATTCTGCGAAAGAAGATCTCAACTGCATTACTTGATAATTAAATATGGTGGTGGCATCGTTATACATTGGAAGATCAGCATTAATCGATGGCACGGTGAATGTCAAATGTTACATTAAATTGTTGCGCAATAATTTCTCCGAAATCGTTGCCAAATTAGATACAAAAGGGCGATATTATTTTTAATAGAACAACGAGTTAAAATGCACTGCCAAAGAAGAACAGCATATATATATGTTGAAGAACATATTGCATCGGCTTTGTCGTTGAATTGTGGCATAAATTAGATTTACGGATCGAACAAAAAAGTGATATCTAAGAAAAGTTATATAATTGCTTTTAAATAGGACTGATAAAAAATTTGATTTAATAAGGCATGAGAAATTTACAGTGCTTAATCTCGGTAAGGCTGTAAACAGTTACAGAGATACATACGTGGAAACTATTAAAATTCCACTATAAAAATCGTGAGTTTGAAAATATTTGACGATCACAAGATTTTGTCTATTTTTCCATTGTTTCTAAGTGATGAATCAGTAACACTAGCGTGTACATGTTATTTTTGTTGTGATGTAACTAAGAAATGCAAATTGTATTAACGCGTTAATTCTTTACATAAAGTTATTACGAATAGTACCAAGTGTGTAAATATTTTTTAAAACACTGTGCATATTGTTCAATTTTGTTATCGGTGCAATACATTTATGGCGAGATGAAGAGTTACATGAATGTAAATACTACTTTTGCGATAGCATTTAATTTCATGGGAAATGTACAAATTGTAAATATTAATATTTCTACGGAAAACCATATTTGATAATAGTTGCTAAGTCGTATCATCTGTATTTAGTAACAAATGCTGAAATATTATAAATTATATACAGCAACTCATTGTAGTTTCAACTACCAAATATTATCCTTCTTCTATTCCCGCGCGTATATTCCGAGACAGGTAAATCAATTTGTAGGTTATATTACTTACACGGTTGTGATGATGATGCTATGATGACATTCTCCTGGGCTTTAAATCTTTATTCTATCAAAAAAATCTCATAAAACACCCAGCTATAAATCCTTATTTCGCAAATTTCAAACACCTAACAAGCTTCTTGTTTTCAACACTATATTGTCTACTTACGCAATAGCATTTACAATCTGTATGAACTAAAATGACCTACAAGAGCTGCAAAACTATACTACACTGTTAACTAAATTTTTAGCAAAATGTAATGCGCGCGTAAACCTTTATTTCCGATTGGTGTTCGATTCTTCGATTTGAAAATTGAAAAGAATTGCATCGCTGTCAAGAGAGCGCCCTCTTTTGTTAATTCCTCGAACTAGCAACGCCAATGGCGGAGCAAGCTCGTTCGAGACGCTATAAAATAGTTCTCGAAACGAAACGCACGCACAAACAATTTTACAAATGTAAAATCAGTGAAAACGATCCGTGATAGTCTTAAAATTCAATATTTCATAGATGACGAAACATTGGTGCAACTATTCAAGACTTAAGTGTCCATTCTGTTGCTGTAACTGTGCGTGCACGAAGAAGGAGACGCTTTCAGAACGGACATAGAAGGTACGTTCACCTTTATCCTTCTAAATGTTTATTTTTACATCATTCAAATTTTATATCTCTTCCTCCATCTGTCACTTTCCATGTAATTTATTCAATTATAATAAGTACATGTCACGAAAAAAATGAAAATTTCAAAGAACCGGTGTAGCGAAGGAAAGCGTAATTTTTCAAAATTAATTTTTCAATAGATATTAGTAATTATTGTAAGCACTAAAAGGGATTTAACCTCCTACTGGAAACGTGATATAATATTTATCTTCCATAGTACTTCTTACTGCTTGTTATCTTGATATTACATGTAACACATAAAGCTGTCCATTGAATAAGGTATGCGTCAGTATTAATCTTAATTGATAAGTATACAGCTCTAAGTACTGACGAAATTGGTAAACATCTTAATCCCGTTTTTTTTCTGAAACTTGATATGTCAATTGGTTTTATATAACTCAAACATTTGGTATATTTACCAATGTAACTGTGAAAGATTTTCATTTCTGGAATTCTTACGTGTTTCCAAGATAATAAAAATTATATTTGTATGCAAGAAAAATGTTATTATCCTTTATAAATGGTAATCTTCATTACTTATAATAATATATTTACATAGGTCTGTAAAATNATTTTTCCATTGTTTCTAAGTGATGAATCAGTAACACTAGCGTGTACATGTTATTTTTGTTGTGATGTAACTAAGAAATGCAAATTGTATTAACGCGTTAATTCTTTACATAAAGTTATTACGAATAGTACCAAGTGTGTAAATATTTTTTAAAACACTGTGCATATTGTTCAATTTTGTTATCGGTGCAATACATTTATGGCGAGATGAAGAGTTACATGAATGTAAATACTACTTTTGCGATAGCATTTAATTTCATGGGAAATGTACAAATTGTAAATATTAATATTTCTACGGAAAACCATATTTGATAATAGTTGCTAAGTCGTATCATCTGTATTTAGTAACAAATGCTGAAATATTATAAATTATATACAGCAACTCATTGTAGTTTCAACTACCAAATATTATCCTTCTTCTATTCCCGCGCGTATATTCCGAGACAGGTAAATCAATTTGTAGGTTATATTACTTACACGGTTGTGATGATGATGCTATGATGACATTCTCCTGGGCTTTAAATCTTTATTCTATCAAAAAAATCTCATAAAACACCCAGCTATAAATCCTTATTTCGCAAATTTCAAACACCTAACAAGCTTCTTGTTTTCAACACTATATTGTCTACTTACGCAATAGCATTTACAATCTGTATGAACTAAAATGACCTACAAGAGCTGCAAAACTATACTACACTGTTAACTAAATTTTTAGCAAAATGTAATGCGCGCGTAAACCTTTATTTCCGATTGGTGTTCGATTCTTCGATTTGAAAATTGAAAAGAATTGCATCGCTGTCAAGAGAGCGCCCTCTTTTGTTAATTCCTCGAACTAGCAACGCCAATGGCGGAGCAAGCTCGTTCGAGACGCTATAAAATAGTTCTCGAAACGAAACGCACGCACAAACAATTTTACAAATGTAAAATCAGTGAAAACGATCCGTGATAGTCTTAAAATTCAATATTTCATAGATGACGAAACATTGGTGCAACTATTCAAGACTTAAGTGTCCATTCTGTTGCTGTAACTGTGCGTGCACGAAGAAGGAGACGCTTTCAGAACGGACATAGAAGGTACGTTCACCTTTATCCTTCTAAATGTTTATTTTTACATCATTCAAATTTTATATCTCTTCCTCCATCTGTCACTTTCCATGTAATTTATTCAATTATAATAAGTACATGTCACGAAAAAAATGAAAATTTCAAAGAACCGGTGTAGCGAAGGAAAGCGTAATTTTTCAAAATTAATTTTTCAATAGATATTAGTAATTATTGTAAGCACTAAAAGGGATTTAACCTCCTACTGGAAACGTGATATAATATTTATCTTCCATAGTACTTCTTACTGCTTGTTATCTTGATATTACATGTAACACATAAAGCTGTCCATTGAATAAGGTATGCGTCAGTATTAATCTTAATTGATAAGTATACAGCTCTAAGTACTGACGAAATTGGTAAACATCTTAATCCCGTTTTTTTTCTGAAACTTGATATGTCAATTGGTTTTATATAACTCAAACATTTGGTATATTTACCAATGTAACTGTGAAAGATTTTCATTTCTGGAATTCTTACGTGTTTCCAAGATAATAAAAATTATATTTGTATGCAAGAAAAATGTTATTATCCTTTATAAATGGTAATCTTCATTACTTATAATAATATATTTACATAGGTCTGTAAAAT